TAACACTCTCCTTTGGTTTCTGTAACACCCCATTCACCCTCTACTTCTCTGATCTTCACAGTTTTCTCTGGGAGCTGACAATCTTCTAGCAAACTTTTTTAAATGTTAGAGGTCATTGTGATTCCATCCTAGGCTTTTTTTTACCCCAACTTATATTCCCTCACCTAGGCAATTTCATCCATATCTATAGTTCTAATTACCTGTATGGGACTCCAGTTTTCCATTTCCAGCCCATACTCCTCCTCTGAATTTTAGAATCATATATCTAATTGCTTACAGAAATTTCTACCTGAAAACTCCAAAGGTACCTTAAGCCTGATATGTCAAAACCAAAAAGAGCTCTGCTCCTTATTCCAGTACCACTATCAACCCAGGAGTGCAACCCAGAAGTAATCTTGGAAATTTCTTTCTCCCTCACTTTCAATCTACTGAGGCCTGCTGGTCTCTGGAAATTTCTTTCTCCCTCACTTTCGATCTACTGAGGCCTGCTGGTCTCAAATCCCATCCACTGAGCACATCTCCACAATTATCATCCTAATTTAAGTTATCCTCATCTCTTTCAGACTACTGACAAAGCCTCCTACTTCTCCCAGATCTCCTGCTACCTCTCTCCTCCCTTTCAATACACATCACCACAATCCTAGTTCTGCCTTCTGGAACCATAGGAAATAAATATGGCTTCCAAATTACATTTTTAACAATAAGATAGTTATAGTGCTTGATATGGTTTGGTTGTGTCCCCATCCAAATCTCATTTTGAATTGTACTCCCATAATTCCCATGTGTTGTGGGAGCAACCTAGTGGGAAATAATTTGAATCATGGGGGTGGTTCCCCATACTGTTCTCATGGTAGTGAATAAGTCTCACAAGATCTGATGGTTCTAATAGGGGTTTCTGGTTTTGCATCTTCTTCATTTTCTCTTGCCACTATCATGCAAGAAGTGCCTTTCTCTCCCAGCCATGATTCTGAGGCCTCTCCAGCCATGTGGAACTGTGAGTCCAATTAAACCTCTTTTTCTTCCCAGTCTCAGGTATATCAGCAGCGTGAAAACAGACTAATGCACTGCTCTATTCTTAGCTAAGGCATTCTTAGTTCCTTCTATATTAAGACAAATGATAGTTTCAAGGTCACATAACGTCATACTCCTCTAAAAACATAGAACCCTTAGGCTGGGTGTGTTAGTTTATTCCAGTAATCCCAGCACTTTGGGAGGCCAAGGTGGGAGGATTACTTAAGCCCAGGAGTTTGAGACTAGCGTGGGCACTATAGTGAGAGCTGTGATCACACCACTGCACTCCAGCCTAAGAGACAGAGTGAGATGCTATCTGAAAGCAAAAACAAAACTAACAACAACGACAAAAAAACATGGACCCCTCAAATGAACATGGCCCATGTGCATGGATATAAGTAACCTGGCACTTTATGCCACAGATTGAGACTTGCTTAGTCTATTAAGTCTCAAACCACAATCATTATTTGTAATGTTTATAGAGGAAAGCAAGTTAATTCATTAACTTACATGTAAGGCATTGTTCAGGTGTTTAGGGGCAAAACAGTGACCAAAACTGACAATTATCTCACAGAAGATACATTAGAGTAAAGAAAATATACAATAAACAGAGTTAGTAGATTACACGGTATGTTGCAAAATGATAAAGGCTATGGAGAAAAAAACTGGTGTAAAAATGGATAGGAAATATCGAGGGGATGGGGGGAAGGCTGTTGTTTTCTACACAGTAGTTAAAGGAGACCAAAATAACATAGGGAAAAGGAGACTGGAGTAATGGTAAGGAGATGAAGTCAGAGAGGAAGAAGAGATTCAAATCATAGAGCCTTGTAGGCCATAGTAGTATGGAATTTACTATGATTGAGAAGGAAAGCCATTTGAGAATAGAAGTTACATGACCTGACATTTTATCAGGATCATTCTGTCTATGGAGTGTTAAAGACTGTAGATTGGCAAAGGTCACAGTGACTTTTTAGGAAGTTATTCTGCAAGCAAAATAGTGGTTGTGTTTTTACATTTTGTATTGAATTTTTAATGTGTCTATGTACCAGGAATTCATAAAGTTCATAGCCAGAACTTAAAAAAAAAATACAATACAAAGATGAGTTTTGAGAATAGTAAAAGAATGATACCGAATATTTTAACTCTGGGCTCTACCCAGTAGTACTAGCAGTTATTACTGCTCAGAAGCAAGACATGGTGCAAAGCTATTAATTTATTTTCGGGGGCAGACTAATAAAAATATGGGTTTTAAGTTTCTTTATTTCACTGGGCAAGGTAAGTCAAGATACAATTTACATCATTAAAAGACAAGAGCAGATGAGGGCAGAGCTTGCTAAAGGGAAGTTACAATGAAAATTATTCTACAGTTGACTTCCTTTTTATTCCTTTTATGCCTGCCACCCTCTTTAATTAAGGCACTACAACTATCTCTGATATACCTTAAAAGTTAATTGATGGGTAGTGTAATACTGTACTTCATTACTAAAAGATGTTATTGATGATGAATCAACAGTATCATATAACTGCACTGATTCATCCTATCTCTGCTGAATAAAAGCACAGGTTTTCAAGAAAACTGTCTAAGCTCTAGTTGGTGCCAACCGACGATAGGGAGCTGAGTAACTCCTGAAAAGTTTCCATCTTAACACACTGGCCCCATTACCCATGAAGGCAATAACAGAAAAAAAAAAATTCTCCTTAAAATTTTCTCCATGACATTTTTTCAGGCAACATATTTAGAAACTTTATATTTTCTTCTAGTTTTCTTCCCCTTTATATTGAAAAATGTCTTTAAACCACAAGTATACTTACAGTAAACAAACATTCAAATTTTACCCCAATGAAATTTTAAAATGTACTCAAACTCTCAGGCAAAAAGTAACTATTTGAATGTGAAAAAGTGAATGACTGTTAAAATATTTGCAAGCACCAAAAAATATTATGGCTAAAATGCAGCTACCCTAAGAACTACTATTTCTTAAAAACTCACATGGCATAAAAAATATAAATTCAGATTATCCGATAGGATATAAAACAAAAGCAATACAAAGACAGTTTAAAGATTTCATTTATCTTGCCCAATCAGTTGAAACAACAAAAACAAAAGGTCCATAAACTTTTTCGTGCATCTTTTAACCAAAATAGTGAGATGATCAAGCTAACTGCCAAAGAAACAGGAAAGAGAAAGCAATTGTTTAGAAACAGACTGCATTACGTGTCAAAATTGTAATACAATAATAAAATGCAAAAACCAATCGTTATTTTAAAATGTACTGCCCTGATATTCTGCTGCTGAAGTAGGCAGTCATATGTATAAACTCATTTTTCTTTTAAAATGAAAAAAAAATGCACCTATTAATAAGCATTTCCCAAAATTCGGGGGAAATTCCCAAATCGGAGAAATGTAACATCAGCATCTACTACACAAAGCATTAAAATCATTTTTCAGCATTTTCGCTAAGTATCTTAGTTCACTGGTAGTGTGCTGGCCAAAATGTAATCCAAAATGAATGAAAAACACTCAACTGGTAGGCACTTACGTAACACCCTACGGAAATATACTGGGGTATTTCAAAACTCAACATTTGAATCTGTGAATGTGTAAATCAAGTACTCTAAACTAGGCGTCTACTCTGAAACAATTTTTCAAAATACATGTTACATCTGTAAGAAATCTTTTTAATGACTTAAAATCCCTAGGTCTGAGGAGGGGCGACGGATTAGGCTAAATTTAGATTTCCCGGCCCGGTAGTTGTCAGCCCAGGCAGCGAGTTTAAAACATCGGGGGTTGGAGAGCAGTCTGTAGTTCGGAGCACCCAGTGAAAAAGCTGCACCCAGTGAAAAAGCTGATGCTTACAAGCGCCGGTTCTTCCCCATTCGTGCACTTGAGAGGTCACAGCGTAGTAAAGTTTGGTTTCACAAGCGGGCTTGGACGCTCGCGACCAAAGTCTCCCAAGAAAAGCCGATACCGGGGTCGGGAGTGCCCGGAAGCTCAGCAAGACACGTTTCCACCGCAGGGAGGAGGGCGTCTGCGGCGGTGCTGGCGTGGAACCCGTTCTCCCCCCCGCAGGACCCTGCCCCCGGGCGGGGACAGGCATCGCCAGCTAAGGCGGCGGGAGGCGCGTAGGCCACAAGGAGGAAATGGGACGGAGTGCTAGAGAGGCGGCGGCGGCGGCCCAGAGCCGGGCCTCCCTCGCGGGGCAGCCAGGGAAAGGGGCCCTCCCGGCCGCAGCCTCCCCCGCCTAGAGGGGCAGCTGCAACTTTCCTCCCAGCGCACGACGCCGCCCGGGCCGCGCGAGATCCCGAAACTTTGTCAGTCCTCGCGCGGCCCGAGGCCCGCTCCAGCGCTCTGCGCCGGCCTCTAACCCCGGCCTCGCCCCGACAGCTGCCCGAGCCCATCCACCCCGCGGGTCGGCCCGTGTTTACCTCAGGCCGAAGTCGAGGCGCTCGGTCCGGCGGCGGCCCCACAGTAGGTTTACAGGTCCCAGTCAATACGCCGCCAAGTTCCCCAACATGGACTCCTTGGTCCGCTTTGAGGGGTTACAGGGTCTCTGGGACACTGACTCCGGTGGCCCGGTCCGGAGGCGGCAGCTACCCAGGTTGCGCTGCTCCGCGCGGCTTGCGCCACCGCTGCTCCCCCTCACCCCGCCTTGTCTAGCCTCCTCCCTCTCCTCCCCGCGCGTCTCCCTCCTCCCTTCCTTCGCTGCGCTCGGCTCCCAGGCGGCGCGCTACGGTGACGACGGCGGCGGCCACACTCGCAGCACTCTGCCGACTCGCTCACTCTGGCCCCGCGTGCACGTCCGCAGCACCCAGCCAGACCGCAGGGGGGCGCTGACAAACTGCTGTTTGCGACCGAGGAGTGTGGTGGGTGGAGTCACGTCACGAGGCCAGAGAGCGGGAGGAAGGGCAGCTGCGATGGAGGGGCCTTCTGGGAAACGTCCTTCCCGCCCCGCCCCGCCCCGCCCTCCGCCCACGCCGCGGAGGGTGCGCATGCGCCGCGCGTGGACGTTGGCCTCAGAGTTCCTTTGGCGGCGTTACGGGCTGCGTCGCGGAGGACAATGAAAGAGGCTTTAAGGGAACTGGACAGGAAGGATTTTGCGTGGGGCGCGCTCCTCTATCTTGATGGTAATCTGATGTTGAAAAGAGTGGCCGTCTGTTTGCAGTGGGCTGAGTGTTCACCTGGCGGCGTTGCCCACCAGAAATGCAGCCCGCGGTGTGAAGAGTCGGCACCTCTCTTCCTTTCTGGTGGGCTTTTTTTTTAGATGCTGAGGGGATGGCTTTCCTGACTGACTGGCCACGTCTTAATCCCACATCACAAAATTAGATTTGGGCCAGGTTCGCGGTGGCTCTCGCCTGTACTCCCAGCACTTTGGAGGCGGAGGCTGGCAAGGCGCTTGAGCCCCGGGGTTCGAGATCAGCTTGAGCAACGTAGTCCTCCTTTCTACAAAAAATAAAACTAGCCGGCCGCGGAGGCGCGCGCCTGTGGTTCCAGCTCCCCCGGAGGCTGAGGCGGGCCGCGGAGGTTGCAGTGAGCCGAAATCGCGCCGCTGCACTCCAGCCTGGGCGACAAAGCGAGGCCCTGTCTCAAACAACGACAAACACTCGATTATGATTTACTTCAAAGACCTCTGCTTTGCGGTTAGTGACCGTGTGCCTCCCTCCACTCCTTCCTGGCGGGTTGCTCAATGTTTTGTTTTACCTCAGAAGTATTTTGGCTTTTTCAAAGTCACTAACTTCTTAAATCTCCTAGTTTCTCTTCTCTTCGACTGCAGCAAGCTCCTGGCTGCCCTGCCTGCCCTCGGTGTCCCTCGTCTTCTACCAGCAGCCCTTCCAGTCCTCCTGCCCACGCCATTGCCCTGCTTGCGACTCCCGCAGGACTTGGCTCTGCTCCCTGCGCGCGGCCCACCCAGGTCCCAGTCGCTTTCACCCGCGCGCTCACACATTTTCCTGTCGCTGCCCCCGTTCTCCCTGTCCGCGCGCGCTGCGCTCTCCCAGCCACGCTGACCCCTGCCCGGGATGTTTCGTCCTCACTTTTCCGCGGTCCACCGGTCAGGCCGCTTCTCTGTCCCCTCCTCCTTCCCTGAGGACGTCGCTTTTCTGGCAGCCTCATCGTACGCATTCTGCTGAGTCTGCTCACTGTCCCACACTGTGAGGATTGGAACAGTGTCTTACCACTTTCATAACAGCGCCTGGCACTTGCTGAAGGAACACATGAGTGGCAGCCTTGTCGCTTTCAAAGTCTTTGGAGTTTTACAGTGTACTGTTTTATATATGGGGTTTGGGAATTTAGATGGCTTTACTCTTTTTGGGATATTTGAGGGAAAAATGAGCTAGAGGCGTTAAAATTCTTTCTTCTGATGGAAGAACAAAATTCTTACGAAGAACCTTTCCCTGTCACAATCAGAGCAAATAGTACAGAATATACATTATTTGGATATAAAGAATGATTATAAGGGATGATTGTTAAGAAAATTAGTGTGGAAAGATATAACCAGGTCAACACGAGCCATCCAACAGAATAAGGGTGTAGCTTTACAATCTCTAGGTTACCTATGCAACTCTAGGATTCACTCTAGAGTCCTGCCTTAGGAGTATAACTCCTGATGTGGACTCCTGGTGCAACATTCTTCTGTGTATGTTTTATATTTTTTAAAATCTCAGTTTTGTTTTAGGAAAATGTTCTTTCTCAAAATTTAAAGCCTAAATGATAAAATCTGCCAAGTAGAAAACTTTGTTAAATTGATAATAACAATTTTAGTTTCATCAAAACTAAAAGATACCAAGTGTTTCGATATATTTATTTTCTGAAAGAGAATTCAGTTTTCACATTTTTACTGTTGGCCTCCTAGATATCATGTGAGCATGTCTTAAGGAAAAATAGTTTTAATGTCATTGTGGTTTCTGCTTTCTTTCTAGGATTACAGGCATGCGCCACCACACCTAGCTAATTTTTGTATTTTTTTTTTTTTTTAGTATAGACGGGTCTCACCATGTTGGCCAGGATGGTCTGGATCTCTTGACCTTGTGATCCACCCACCTTGGCCTCCCAAATTGCTGGATTTATAGGCGTGAGCCACAGCGCCCTGCTGGTTTCCACTTTCACGTGCAAATAGGAGAGTGGTGGTTTGTAATAATCTCCCCAGAGAAAAGACCATGTGTATTTCTGAATAAGCAGCATCCTCCTCATTATGTTTGCATGTAAAGATTTAGTCTCTCTGATGTCTTCATATTTTTAAAATTTACAATACAATAAAGAGGTACAGAGTTCTAAATCAATAAAAGATGAGCTGTAAAATAAATGGAGGAGTAAAGTTGATATACCAACCATCATTGTCAACATTTTAGATTTGATTTTAACTGTAAAAAGCACAAATGATATGCATCATAAAATAGCCTTCAACTGAATGTCCACTTGGTGTGTTGCACTTTACCAGGCACTTAAAATACCAATCCTGTGTCAAAGCAACAGAAATCCACAGTGGCATCTTTAAAATTGATAATCAAAGTATTGATTTTCATGGAGCTTTGTCAGAAATAACTGCTATTTTAATTTAACTATTATAAATAGAATGCAATGTAAAATTCAAATTAAGGGAGGAAATCATGGTACAAGTATACTGGATTGAAAAACATGAGCCAATTCCCCTAATAAATCCCCTGTCATATATCTATATATCCTAATAGTTCTCTTTGCTGCAGTCTACTTCTTCATTTCAGTTTCTATTTACTTTTTTAAAAAGGTAATAAGCATTCATTTTAATTCCAACAACACAGAAGTGTGTAAAATATACTCAGAAGTATGTAAAGAAAAATATTGTTTTCTTCTCCCTATCCCACTCCTAGACAAAATCAATGTTAATAGATTGAAGTTTCTCTCAATACTTTTTCTAATGTTTTAAAACACATAGAGGTTTTCATTTGTATATTTATAAATAATCTCACTGTATATATTTTTCTTCAATTCTAACTCAACAATTCCTTATAAATAGCCCATTCTCTTAACTAGCTGCATAATATTACATAGTATTAATGTACAATACTTTTTTTGAGACAGAAAGAACTCTCTCTGGAGAACCCTAATACAGGGACCAAAGACAATTTCATTAAAGAGCAGGTAACCCAAACCAAATTCAGACAGGTATTATTCCAAATTTGAAGACTCTGGTACACACTCAGGTTGTTCTTCCATTCCCAATAGCACTTCTTCTACGTGTTTTTTGCTCCCCTCAAGTCTCAACCTCACAATCACTCCTGCTGAGTTCCTTAACCCTGAACCTAGCAAACAATCTCACCACAGTCATTATAAGAGAGAAACTCAACTTCTTTCCTTTTACTGACAAAGTCTATCTAGAACTGTGTACATCCATGCATACTTGTTTTTCTCTATCACAGAATTTTCTGTTCCCTTGTTTAACCCATTTATACCTGAGGTTGCAATTTTTTGGATTTTTGCAGTCAGACCTCACTGATAACCTCGAGCAGTAGAGTATAAATAACTCGCATGTGCTTAGTGTTCCAATAATGTAATACTAGGTATGGCTTAGCTTTCTACTTGTGCCATAGATCTGTTTTTTTAGACATTGGGATTTATAGGCCATTCACATTTCTAACAGTCTGAAAACAGATAACAGGGCCGGTAACTTTTTACTCTTTCCAAGTAACAGTATATATTTGTAAAGTCTTTCCATCTTTTGTCACCATGATTTCTTAAAAGAAATACATTTTCACCCAAAAAACTAAATTTCATGAAATACTATTCTGTTTGTTTACATTTCCCTGTGGAACAGTGAAGCTGTCACAGCCCTAGTACATTTGGGACTCTGCTCTGAAACAGATCCCTTCTATCCCCTCAGGATGTGGATCCATGAGTTAGTTTGTCTTCGATATGTTTAATGCCTCCTTTACTGAAAGCTAACTTATGTCTCTTTGCTCCAGGTTTTAAAACAATTTAAATTCTGAGACTACTTCTTCATTTCAGTTTCTGTGTACTCTTTTTAAAAGGTAATAAGCATTCATTTTAACAATTGTAACAATACAGAACTGTATGGAATTTATTCAGAAGTATATAAAGAAAAAGATCATTTTCTTCTCTTTATCCCAGTCCTAGACAAAACCAATGTAAAAGATTGATGTTTCTCTCAATATTTTTTCAAATGTGTTTTAGAAACACATAGGTGGTTTTTATTTTTATTTTGACAAATAATCACACCACATGTTTTTCTGCAACTTTTTCTAACTCAACAGTTAATTATAAATATTTAAACCATTATTTTAACTAGCTGCATAATATTATATAGTATTAATGGACCATAATTATTTTTTTGAAATCTTGCTCTATCATCATCCAGGTGTGATCATAGCTGACTGCAGGCTCAAATTTCTAGACTCAAGTGATTCCCCTGCCTCAGCTTTGCCAGTAGCTTAGACTGCAGGTATGAGCCACCATACCATGCCTGGCTAATTTTTTTTTTTATTATTTTTAGTAGAAACAGGGTCTTGCTATGTTGCCCAGGCTGGTGTCCAGCTCCTGGATCCTCAAGTGATCCTCCTGCCTCAGCCTCTCAGAGCACTGGGATTACAGATGTGAGCTACACACTTGGCCTCTTCTATCATAATTTTTGAAACTTTTCTATTGATAATACAGATTTCTCCAGATTTTGTGTCATTACAAGTGATGCTAGAATAAATATCCTTATATGTATATCTTTTAAAAGTTAGGCATTTTTGTATAGGATTGATCCTAAAAGTGAGATTGTTAAAACCCTACATATGTGCTTTAAAAAATATATTTTAATAGATACTGCCTGTAGAGGGGTATGAGGTTTTATGTTTTGTTGTTTTGTTGGTTTTTTTTTGGTAATAGTTTTCCTTAGATGAATTAGTCTTCTTCCTCTCTTAATCTGTGGGTTACAAATGGAATGGGGTCCTCCGTTGGATTACACATTGGACTTTGATTTAGGACTGGCTAATAAGAATGTAGTACCCTGGCTGGGTGTGGTGGCTCACATCTGTAATCCCAGCACTTTGGGGGGCTGAGGTGGGCAGATCACCTGAGGTCGGGAGTTCAAGACCAGCCTGACCAACATGGAGAAACCCTATCTCTACTAAAAATACAAAAAATTAGCTGGACGTGGTGGTACATGCATGTAATCTCAGCTACTCAGGAGGCTGATGCAGAATCACTTGAACCTGGGAGCCAGAGATTGTGGTAAACCAAGATCACACCATTGCATTCCAGCCTGGGCAACAAGAGTGCAACTCCATCTTAAAAAAAAAAAAAAAAAAAAAAAAAAAGAATATAGTAACCCATTAGTTTTAATGGTCTGTAGTTCAGGGATGGGCACGTGATTCAGTTCAAGCCAAGCAGAATTAGATCAAAGACATTTGTTCTGTGCTGGACTTGTCAATGTAAATATGTAAGCTCCCTTCACAAAGAGATACACTTTCTGAGAATGACTTCTCCTCAGAGGACAAAAGTAAGGCATGAAAAGCAACTAGGTTTTAATGATATCATTTAGGTAACCTAAATACAGCTGTGTCTAGACTTTGAGTTATGTGGCTTAATAAATATCTTTCTTTGAGTTGGGTTTGCAGTTACTTATAGCTAATGCTGTTATGACTGACACACTGCCAGATTATCTTTACTCTAGAATTATTTTAGTTCATACTCCAATCTAAATGTTGAAGAACCCATTTTCCACTCTCTTGCCAGGACTAATGTATAAATCTTAAATTTTTGTCAGTCTGATAGGCATTAAATGCTATCTGTCTGTTGTTTCAATTAGCTTTTTGCTGACTACTAGTGGGACTGAATTCCTTTCATATGATTTTGGACTGTTTATGGTTATTGTTGTATTTTTGTATTGAGTTTTTATCCTTTTCTGATCTGTCTATATGATCCCTTGTGTATTACAACTCTTAATACATATGGTGTTCCATATGTGCAGGTACGATTTTTTTTCATAATGATCTTTGGACTTTGCTTATGGTAGCTTTTGTTATAAGAAAGTTTTAATTTTAATATTGTTAAGTCTGATCTGGAAAAAGTCACTGTGACCTCATATGTGCCAAATACAATGAACTCTTTTTTTTTTTTTTTTTTTTTTTTTTTTGAGATGAAGTCTCCCGCTGTTACCCAGGCTAGAGGGCAGTGACGCAATCTCGGCTCACTGCCGCCTCCTTTGCCTCCCAGGTTGAAGCAATTTTCCCTGCCTCAGCCTCTGGAGTAGCTGGGACTATAGGCATACACCACCACACCTGGCTAATTTTTCTATCTTTAGTAGAGATGGGGTTTTGCCATGTTAGCTAGTCTGGTCTCAAACTCCTGACTTCAAATGATCCACCTGTCTCGGCCTCCCAAAGTGGTGGGATTACAGGCATGAGCTACTGCACCGAGCCTACAATGAACTCTTTATAGTCCTCAGCAAGCAATTATCTCATATCGGTACCTGCTGTATACTGGGCGCTATCCTAGGCATGTTGTCCCTGCCCTTAAAGAAATTACAATTTAGTGCAACAGTCAAACAGATGAACATAATTAATATGTCATTGATGCCGATATTGGGTTTGCATTATGGGCTGAAATATGTCCCCTGAAATTCATGTGTTGAAGTCCTAATTCCCAGTAACTGAGAATGTAACCATATTTGGAGATAAGGTCTTTAAAGAGGTGGTTGTTTTAAAATGAGCTCTTTAGGGTAGGACTCAATCTAATATGACTGATGTCCTTATAGGAAGAGGGGATACAGACACAGATGTGTGCACAGAGAAGGAAGACCATATAAAAACAGAGACAAGACAACCATCTACAAGTTAAGTAGAGAGTCCTCAGAAGGAGCAGTCCTGCCAACATCTTGATCTTGGACTTCGAGCCTCCAGAACTGTGAGAAAGTAAATTTCTGTTTGTTGAACCCTACCAGTCTATGATTTTTTTTTTTTTATGGCAGCCCTAGCAAACCAATAGAGTTTGCCTCCTCAACATCCCTTCCATTCTAACCCCTTGTGTACTAGTCATGTGATTGTGGGGGGTAAGGATTAAAACATGACACCAATTCCAGGAATCAGCCCTGACAATTTTAGATCATTCAAGGTAATCCTACAATTCTTGCTACAGTGGGTAGTTTAGGAAACCCAAACATTCCTTTGGTCAGTTTGCATCAGTAATACTTGAAGAGCTGGTGACTCTGAGAAAGACTTTCTTGTTCTCAGATAAAGCTACTAAAAGCTTGCTCTCTTCCTGTTTGGATGATGAGAGGTGAGAATTTAAACCTGGAATTAATGCAGCTACTCTGTTGTCATGAACTAGCCTAGCTTTGGAATAATGCTGCCTCTGTGGAAGGCCTAGCAGGGAGGTGGAGCAAAATTAGTTTCTTGTTGAAGTGAGTAAGCCACTGATCAAATAAATTCTGGTACCTGACTAGTTATGTGAGCCAATAAGTCCCCTTCATTATTTAAGCATTTCAGTTTTTAAAAAATTTACAGTAGTAAGGGTCTTGGCAGTTAAGGGATATGTGGGGAAAAGAAACTGTCACAGGTCAAATTCCCTAGGAAACACTTTGACATAAAATATTAGAGTGCAGAAATTTCACTGGGAGGTGCTCTTAGGATCCACCTAGAGAAAGAATAAAGAAAGCAGGCTTAGGCAAAGGAAGAAGTTGACCTACAGCGAAGTCCAACAGAGGCCTCAGCCATTCCTATAGGGAACTCTGAAGACTATGCCATCTCATTGACCAATCATTTTGGCTGCACATAGAAAGGTGAGGAGGCCCTCTTCAGCAGAGTGTAAGTCCTGTTGAAGGATTCAGTTGAGAGTTGTCAGCCTTGAAACTTTCAGCATTTGGTGGAATGACTGCTTCAGTCCTGGACTTGGGGAAATCTACTGTACACCATGCATGATACCCACTACTGTCTACCTCTCTAAATATAAGATCTAGGAGCAGCTGTTCCAAAGTTCTGTTGGGCTTCTAATAAATTTAGTAGAAGAAGGTTCGTGGGATTAATTACAGCCTTGAAAGCTGCTCTTGGGGCCATAATTTTATTTTATTTTATTTTTATTGCATTTTAGGTTTTGGGGTACATGTGAAGAACATGCAAGATTGTTGCATAGGTACACACATTGCAGTGTGATTGTTGCATAGGTACACATGTGGCAGCCTTCCTCCCCTTTACCTATATCTGGCATTTCTCCCCATGCTATCTCCCCAACTCCCCACCCCCTGCTATTTCCCCCCAACAGATCCCAGTGTGTGATGCTCTCCTCCCTGTGTCCATGTGTTCTCATTGTTCAACACCTGCCTACGAGTGAGAACATGCGGTGTTTGATTTTCTGTTCCTGTGTCAGTTTGCTGAGAACAATGGTGCCCAGGTTCATCCATGTCCCTACAAAGGACACAAACTCATCGTTTTTGATGGCTGCATAATATTCCATGGTGTATATGTGCCACATTTTCCCTGTCCAATCTATCATCGATGGGCATTTGGGTTGGTCTCAGGTCTTTGCTATTGTATACAATGCTGCAATGAACATTCATGTGCATGTGTCCTTATAGTAGAACGATTTATAATCCTTTGGATATATACCCAGTAATGGGATTGCTGGGTCAAATGGAATTTCTATTTCTAGGTCCTTGAGGAATCTCCACACTGTCTTCCACAATGGTTGAACTAATTTACACTTCCACCAACAGTGTAAAAGTGTTCCTATTTCTCCACATCCTCTCCAGCATCTGTTGTCTCTAGATTTTTTAATGATCTCCATTCAAACTGGCATGAGATGGTATCTCAATGTAGTTTTGATTTGCATTTCTCTAATGACCAGTGATGATGAGCATTTTTTCATATGTTTGTTGGCCTCATGTATGTCTTCTTTTGAAAAGTGTCTGTTCATATCCTTCACCCACTTTTGAATGGGCTTTGTTTTTTCTTGTAAATCTGTTTTAGTTCTTTGTAAATTCTGGATATCAGCCCTTTGTCGGATGGGTAGACTGCAAAAATGTTTTCCCATTCTGTTGGTTGCCGATTCACTCTGATGACTGTTTCTTTTGCTGTGCAGAAGCTGTGGAGTTTGATTAGGTCTCATTTGTCTATTTTGGCTTTTGTTGCCAATGCTTTTGGTGTTTTGGTCATGAAGTCCTTGCCTATGCCTGTGTCCTGAATGGTTTTGCCTAGATTTTCTTCTAGGGTTTGTATGGTGTTAGGTCTGATGTTTAAGTCTTTAATCCATCTGGAGTTAATTTTAGTGTAAGGCATCAGGAAGGAATCCAGTTTCTGCTTTCTGCACATGGCTAGCCAGTTTTCCCAACACCATTTATTAAACAGGGAATCCTTTCCCCATTGCTTATTTTTGTCAGGTTTGTCAAAGATCGGATGGTTGTATATATGTTGTGTTGCCTCCAAGGCCTCTGTTCTGTTCCACTGGTCTATATCTCTGTTTTGGTACCAGTGCAATGCTGTTTTGATTACTGTAGCCTTGTAGTATAGTTTGAAGTCTGGTAGTGTGATGCCTCCCACTTTGTTCTTTTTGCTTAGAATTGACTTGGCTATGCGGGCTCTCTTTTGGTTCCATATGAAGTTTAAGGTGTTTTTTCCCAGTTCTTTGAAGAAGGTCTTTGGTAGCTTGATGGGGTTAGCATTGAATCTGTAAACTTCTTCGGGCAGTATGGCCATTTTCACAATATTGATTTTTCCTAGCCATGAACATGGAATGTTTCTCCATCTGTTTGTGTCCTCTCTTATTTCATTGAGCAGTGGTTTGTAGTTTTCCTTGAAGAGGTCCTTTACATTCCTTGTTAGTTGTATTCCTAGGTATTTTATTCTCTTTGTAGCAATTGTGAATGGCAGTTCATTCTTGATTTGGCTCTCTTTTAAGTCTGTTATTGCTGTATAGGAATACTTGTGATTTTTGCACATTGATTTTGTATCCTGAGACTTTGCTGAAGTTGCTTATCAGTTTCAGGAGATTTTGGGCTGAGACAATGGGGTCTTCTAGATATACAATCATGTCGTCTGCAAATAGAGACAATTTGACTTCCTTCTTTCCTATTTGAATACCCTTTATTTCTTTTTCTTCCTGATTGCTCTGGCTAGAACTTCCAGTATTATATTGAATAGGAGTGGTGAGAGAGGGCAACCTTGTCTAGTGCCAGATTTCAAAAGGAATGCTTCCAGTTTTTGCCCATTCAGTATGATATTGGCTGTGGGTTTGTCGTAAATAGTTTTTATTATTTTGAGATACGTTCCGTCAGTACCTAGTTTATTGAGGGTTTTTAGCATAAAAGGCTGTTTAATTTTGTCAAAGGCCTTCTCTGCATCAATTGAGATAATCATGTGGTTTTTGTCTTTCGTTCTGTTTATGTGGTGGATTACGTTTATAGACTTGTGTATGTTGAACCAGCCTTGCATCCCTGGGATGAATCCTACTTGATCATGGTGGATAAGCTTTTTGATATGCTGTTGCAATCAGCTTGCCAGTATTTTATTGAAGAGTTTTGCATCTATGTTCATCATGGATATTGGCTTGAAGTTTTCTTTTCTTGTTGAGTCTCTGCCTGGTTTTGGTATCAGGATGATGTTGGTCTCATAAAATGATTTGGGAAGGATTCCCTCTTTTCGGATTATTTGGAATAGTTTCAGAAGGAATGGTACCAGCTCCTCTTTGTATGTCTGGTAGAATTTTGCTGTGAACCCATCTGGACCTGGGCTTTTTTGGGGTGGTAGGCTCTTAATTGCTGCTTCAACTTCAGACCTTGTTGTTAGTCTATCAGGGTTTCGACTTCTTCCTGGTTTAGGCTTGGTAGGAGGCAAGTGTCCAGGAATTTATCCATTTCTTCCAGGTTTACTAGTTTATGTGCATAGTTGTTTGTAATAATCTCTGATGATAGTTTGAATTTCTGTGGAATCTGTGGTGATATACCCTTTATCGTTTTTTAGTGCATCTATTTGGTTATTTTCTGTTTTCTTTTTTATTAATCTGGCTAGTGGTCTGTCTATTTTGTTGATCTGTTCGAAAAACCAGCTCCTGGATTTATTGATTTTTGAAGGGTTTTTTGTGTCGCTATCTCCTTCAGTTCTGCTCTGATCTTAGTTATTTCTTGTCTTCTGCTAGGATTTGAGTTTTTTTTTAATCTTGCTCCTCTAGCTCTTTCAATTTTGATGATAGGGTGTCAATTTTCAATCTCTCCTTGCTTCTCATGTGGACACTTATTACTATATATTTTCCTCTAGAGACTACTTTAAATGTGTCCCAGAGATTCTGGTATGTTGTGTCTTCGTTCTCATTGGTTTTGAAGAACATCCTTATTTCTTCCTTCATTTCATTGTTTATCCAGTCAACATTCAAGAGCCAGTTGTTTAGTTTCCATGAAACTGTGTCGCTCTGAGTTAGTTTCTGCATTCTGAGTTCTAACTTGATTGCACCGTGGTCTGAGAGACTGTTTGTTATGATTTTCATTCTTTTGCATTTGCTGAGGAGTGATTTGCTTCCAATTACGTGGCCAATTTTAGAGTAGGTGTGATGTGGTGCTGAGAAGAATGTATATTCTGTGTATTTGGGGTGGAGAGTTCTGTAAATGTGTATTAGGTTTGCTTGGTCCAGGTCTGAGTTCAAGTCCTGGATATCCTTGTTAATTTTCCGTCTTGTTGATCTGTCTAATATTGACAGTGGAGTTTTAAAGTCTCCCACTATTATTGTGTGGGAGTCTAAGTCTCTTTGTAAGTCATTAAGAACTTGCCTTGTGTATCTGGTCCTGTATTGGGTATGTATATGTTTAGGATCGTTAGCTCTTCTTGTTGCATTGATCCTTTTACCATTATGTAATGTCCTTCTTTGTCTCTTTTGATCTTTGTTGCTTTAAAGTCTATTTTATCAGAGATGAGAATTGCAACTC